GACTGTCTCACACACACTCAGGCTACAGGACTGTCTCACACACACACAGGCTACAGGACTGTCTCTCACACACAGGCCACAGGACTGTCTCTCACACACACAGGCTACAGGACTGTCTCACACACACACAGGCTACAGGACTGTCTCTCACACACACAGGCTACAGGACTGTCTCACACACACACAGGCTACAGGACTGTCTCACACACACACAGGCTACAGGACTGTCTCTCACACAGGCTACAGGACTGTCTCTCACACACAGGCTACAGGACTGTCTCACACACACAGGCTACAGGACTGTCTCACACACAGGCTACAGGACTGTCTCACACACAGGCTACAGGACTGTCTCACACAGGCTACGGGACTGTCTCTCACACAGGCTACAGGACTGTCTCTCACACAGGCTACAGGACTGTCTCACACACACACAGGCTACAGGACTGTCTCACACACACACAGGCTACAGGACTGTCTCACACACACACAGGCTACAGGACTGTCTCTCACACAGGCTACAGTACTGTCTCACACACACACAGGCTACAGGACTGTCTCACACACACACAGGCTACAGGACTGTCTCTCACACACAGGCCACAGGACTGTCTCTCACACACACAGGCTACAGGACTGTCTCACACACACACAGGCTACAGGACTGTCTCTCACACACACAGGCTACAGGACTGTCTCACACACACACAGGCTACAGGACTGTCTCACACACACACAGGCTACAGGACTGTCTCTCACACAGGCTACAGGACTGTCTCTCACACACAGGCTACAGGACTGTCTCACACACACACAGGCTACAGGACTGTCTCTCACACAGGCTACAGGACTGTCTCACACACACAGGCTACAGGACTGTCTCTCACACAGGCCACAGGACTGTCTCACACACACACAGGCTACAGGACTGTCTCTCACACAGGCTACAGGACTGTCTCACATACACACAGGCTACAGGACTGTCTCACACACACACAGGCTACAGGACTGTCTCTCACACACACAGGCTACAGGACTGTCTCTCACACACACAGGCTACAGGACTGTCTCACACACAGGCTACAGGACTGTCTCACACACACACAGGCTACAGGACTGTCTCACACACACAGGCTACAGGACTGTCTCTCACACAGGCTACAGGACTGTCTCTCACACACACAGGCTACAGGACTGTCTCTCACACACACAGGCTACAGGACTGTCTCACACACACACAGGCTACAGGACTGTCTCTCACACACACAGGCTACAGGACTGTCTCACACACACACAGGCTACAGGACTGTCTCACACACACACAGGCTACAGGACTGTCTCTCACACACACAGGCTACAGGACTGTCTCACACACAGGCTACAGGACTGTCTCACACACACACAGGCTACAGGACTGTCTCTCACACACACAGGCTACAGGACTGTCTCACACACACACAGGCTACAGGACTGTCTCTCACACACACAGGCTACAGGACTGTCTCACACACACACAGGCTACAGGACTGTCTCTCACACACACAGGCTACAGGACTGTCTCTCACACAGGCCACAGGACTGTCTCACACACACACAGGCTACAGGACTGTCTCTCACACAGGCTACAGGACTGTCTCACACACACACAGGCTACAGGACTGTCTCACACACAGGCTACAGGACTGTCTCACACACACAGGCCACAGGACTGTCTCTCACACACACAGGCTACAGGACTGTCTCACACACACAGGCTACAGGACTGTCTCACACACACACAGGCTACAGGACTGTCTCACACACACAGGCTACAGGACTGTCTCTCACACAGGCTACAGGACTGTCTCTCACACAGGCTACAGGACTGTCTCTCACACAGGCTACAGGACTGTCTCACACACACACAGGCTACAGGACTGTCTCTCACACAGGCTACAGGACTGTCTCACACACACACAAGCTACAGGACTGTCTCTCACACACACAGGCTACAGGACTGTCTCTCACACACACAGGCTACAGGACTGTCTCACACACAGGCTACAGGACTGTCTCACACACACACAGGCTACAGGACTGTCTCACACACACACAGGCTACAGGACTGTCTCACACACACACAGGCTACAGGACTGTCTCACACACACACAGGCTACAGGACTGTCTCACACACACACAGGCTACAGGACTGTCTCTCACACACACAGGCTACAGGACTGTCTCACACACACACAGGCTACAGGACTGTCTCACACACACACAGGCTACAGGACTGTCTCACACACAGGCTACAGGACTGTCTCACACACACAGGCCACAGGACTGTCTCTCACACACACAGGCTACAGGACTGTCTCTCACACACACAGGCTACAGGACTGTCTCTCACACACACAGGCTACAGGACTGTCTCACACACAGGCTACAGGACTGTCTCACACACACACAGGCTACAGGACTGTCTCACACACACACAGGCTACAGGACTGTCTCACACACACACAGGCTACAGGACTGTCTCTCACACACACAGGCTACAGGACTGTCTCTCACACACACAGGCTACAGGACTGTCTCACACACACACAGGCTACAGGACTGTCTCACACACACACAGGCTACAGGACTGTCTCACACACAGGCTACAGGACTGTCTCACACACACAGGCCACAGGACTGTCTCTCACACACACAGGCTACAGGACTGTCTCACACACAGGCTACAGGACTGTCTCTCACACACACAGGCTACAGGACTGTCTCACACACACACAGGCTACAGGACTGTCTCACACACACACAGGCTACAGGACTGTCTCTCACACACACAGGCTACAGGACTGTCTCACACACACAGGCTACAGGACTGTCTCTCACACACACAGGCTACAGGACTGTCTCACACACACACAGGCTACAGGACTGTCTCACACACACAGGCTACAGGACTGTCTCTCACACAGGCTACAGGACTGTCTCACAGACACAGGCTACAGGACTGTCTCACACACACAGGCTACAGGACTGTCTCACACACACACAGGCTACAGGACTGTCTCACACACACACAGGCTACAGGACTGTCTCACACACACACAGGCTACAGGACTGTCTCTCACACAGGCTACAGGACTGTCTCTCACACACACAGGCTACAGGACTGTCTCACACACACACAGGCTACAGGACTGTCTCTCACACAGGCTACAGGACTGTCTCTCACACAGGCTACAGGACTGTCTCACACACACACAGGCTACAGGACTGTCTCTCACACAGGCTACAGGACTGTCTCTCACACAGGCTACAGGACTGTCTCACACACACACAGGCTACAGGACTGTCTCCCACACAGGCTACAGGACTGTCTCTCACACAGGCTACAGGACTGTCTCTCACACACACAGGCTACAGGACTGTCTCTCACACAGGCTACAGGACTGTCTCTCACACACACAGGCTACAGGACTGTCTCTCACACACACAGGCTACAGGACTGTCTCACACACACACAGGCTACAGGACTGTCTCACACACACACAGGCTACAGGACTGTCTCTCACACACACAGGCTACAGGACTGTCTCACACACAGGCTACAGGACTGTCTCACACACACACAGGCCACAGGACTGTCTCTCACACAGGCTACAGGACTGTCTCTCACACAGGCTACAGGACTGTCTCACACACACACAGGCTACAGGACTGTCTCACACACAGGCTACAGGACTGTCTCACACAGGCTACAGGACTGTCTCTCACACACACAGGCTACAGGACTGTCTCACACACACACAGGCTACAGGACTGTCTCACACACACACAGGCTACAGGACTGTCTCTCACACACACAGGCTACAGGACTGTCTCACACACAGGCTACAGGACTGTCTCACACAGGCTACGGGACTGTCTCTCACACAGGCTACAGGACTGTCTCTCACACAGGCTACAGGACTGTCTCTCACACACACAGGCTACAGGACTGTCTCTCACACAGGCTACAGGACTGTCTCTCACACACACAGGCCACAGGACTGTCTCTCACACAGGCTACAGGACTGTCTCTCACACAGGCTACAGGACTGTCTCACACACACACACACAGGCTACAGGACTGTCTCACACACACACACAGGCTACAGGACTGTCACACACACACAGGCTACAGGACTGTCTCTCACACAGGCTACAGGACTGTCTCTCACACAGGCTACAGGACTGTCTCACACACACACAGGCTACAGGACTGTCTCTCACACAGGCCACAGGAGGTTACTCTTAGGGGAGGAACCTAAAGGGAAAACTCCTCTGAATATTTAAACAAAATGAATACTAAGAGGCAGGGAATGTAGACTAGTGGTAGAGTGCTTGCTGGTGTGCATGAAGCTCTGGGTTAGATTCCTCAGTACCACATACACAGAAAAACTGGAAGTGGCACTGTGGCTAAAATGGTAGAGTGCTAGCCTTGAGCAGAAGAAGCTCAGGGACAGTGCCCAGGTCCAGAGTTCAAGCCCCAGGATTGGCAAAAAATAATAAATAAAAATTGAATACTAAGAAATGGCAGCATGGATTTCTGTTGGTGGCGGTGTGGTGGTGTTTGTTTTTAGCCTTTCTTTTTGTCTTTTAAGGGGGAGGCAATGGATAGTGCAGAAAGAGAGGAGGGGTGAACAAATGTAGTCATGGTATTCAGTATACCCTGTGTGGAAAATGAGCTATGCAACACGTGATCCCGGACCGGGGAGACTAGGAGAGAGAAAAGGAAGGGGTGACACCGTCCAAAAAAGAAATGTGCTCGTTACCCGGCTTAGGAAACGGTAACCCCTCTCTACACCACCCTCCTCCTAACAACGTTATGTTGAAAAAAGATTTGTAAGACTAAAGTTAAGTTTGGCTAAAAGTGCTACTGATACCAGCTTTTATTCTTGGTAATTTGTATGCTTCTATTTTCTTCTTAAGAGTTAAGGTCATGAACAAACTCTCCTTTTATTTTTTAGCATCCTTACCCAACAGAAGATGAGAAAAAGCAGATTGCTGCTCAGACAAATCTGACACTACTCCAAGTGAACAACTGGTAAGACAGATGCACAGCTTTCTGACACCATGTCCTTACTGCAATAGAACCTGGAGAGGTGACCCATACACACAAAACAATCAGTCAGCAGCCCCAGGTGGCTGCAGGCCAAGGGGAGTCGAGAGCTGGATGGGCTTTGGGCTGGGGACAGTCTAGCTGTTCCCACCCTTCCCCTTCACAGGAAGGCACGCTCTGCTAACAGGCCAGTTATCAGCGAGGACAGTATCTGCACTCATGGGCGGGGAAGGAAGAGCTGGTGGGGGGCTCAAGGCAGGGCTTGCAAGTGGAGGAGCACCCGAACTCACACCTGTCATCCTGGCTACTTAGGAGGGTGAGGTGTGAGGACTGTAGCTTGAAACCAGCCGGGGCAAGCAAGCTCGTGAGACTCCTATCGCTGATAAACTACTTAGAAAAAGCCAGAAGTGGCACTGTGGCTCAAGCAGTAGAACGCTAGCCTTGAGCACAAAGAGGCTCAGAGACAGTGCCCAGACCCTGAGTTCAAGCCCCAGGACTGGCAAAAAAAAGAAAAGGAAATACTGTTGAGACGTCTGCATGCTCTGAGCTGGCGAGACCCCGTCCCCCGAGAGCTGCCATTGCTGGCAGGGCGCCAGGAATGCGCGTGCTCACGGCCCGCCCCCTGCTTCATCTCCATGCCCACTGCAGACTGCCTGTCTCTCAGTGACGCCTCCACCCCAGTCCCACGATCTTTCTGAACTGGGACGCCCAGGGATGGCCTCTGGGCGGGACAGCGAGAGTCAGGGGTGCTCTGGCTTCTACCTGTAGCTCAAGGGCGCAGTTTCTCTCCCATCTGTTCTGAGACAGTTGTGTTGCGTGGCAGGGCCTGGAGCCATTCGCTGAGAGCATGCCCAGGGACATGGCTATTTGTGGATGGAACATCCTCTTCTGGGTCTGGGGTCACGTCCTGGTAAGGTCACTCGGACCCCGGCCATGTGTTTTCCTCCAGAGAGAGGACGCTTTCCACCCAGTGCTCTTGTGTAGAGGTGCAGCTCCATTCAGTAGCGTGGTTACTTGTCTCACTTTTCTTATTCAGGTGTGAGAAGCAATGTCAGCTTCTGGTATGCATAAGAGAAGGCACAAATCCTACCAGTTGTAAACATTATTGTCCTTACTTTATCTATGCTAACATGTAAAATTGTTAAAATTTCAATATAAGCAACAGACTTTTATATTTATGCATAGATGCAACCAGGTATGCTTTAGTGTTGCATTAAATACTTCTATTGTGCCAGGTATTAGTGGATCACATCTCTAATCCTAGCTACTCAGAAGGTTGAGATCTGAGGATCATGGTTTGAAGCCAGGTCAGGTAGGAAAGTCCCTGAGATGCTTACCTCCATTAATCACCAAAAAGCCAATGTTAGAGTTGTGGCTCAAGTGGTAGAGCACTAGCTTTGAGGAAAAGAAAAAGAAATACAAACTTCAAGGACAGAACCCAGGTCCTGAGTTCAAGTCCCAAGACCAGCATACACCAAAATTTTTTTCTATGATTTTGTATTAGGGCTGTTATTTTATTTGGGTAGCAATAACACATCGTACCACTTGAGGTAATGCCTTCAGGTAGAATGCTAGCGCAGGCTTAGTGTCCAAGTGGGAGCATCTCATGGGTCCATGGTCCAGGCTGGGCAGGCCTCCTGTAGAGCCTCAGGCACTGGGTGGTGGCCGGCGTGGGGAGCTAGGACAGAGAGGGGCCAGGCCAGAGACTTTAGGAAGTTCCAAGTTGATGTGGCTTTTCTCCCCAGTGGGTGGGCCCTGCCTTGACCCCACCTGCTCTTCCTTCCCTGTTCATGAGTGCAGAGAATGCCCTACCAGCCCGGCCTTCCAGTGTGAGGGAAAGGGAGGCCACACAAGACTGTCCCAAGCCCAAAGCCCCTCCAGCTCATAACCACCCTGGCCTGCAGCCACCCGGGCCGCCTGCTGACTGCTTTGTGTGTTTCAGTTCCTAAGTTGAGTAGTTTCCTCAAAAACAGCTTCAATGGTTTGTGCTGGATAAATACTCAACTTCTCAGGGGTGCTCATTGGCAGTAGTTTGACCTGTTACTGTAAGGACAACAGAGAGAAATAGAATAATGTCATGTAGAATAAGGTCCAAGTTGTTGTTGCTGTGATGTAGCTTTGTGAGTCCTGCTTAGCTGCTCCCTGCCCTCCAGACCTGCGGCCCCGCCCCCGCCCCCAGCACACAGAGCAGCGCAGTCCCAGGGGGTCAATCACTGTCCACACACAGGCGCTGTGCTAGGTAGCTCACCATCTGGAATGGTGTCGGGAAGCGGTGGAGCGTTACCCAGGCCCTTACTCTGGTGAGCCAGAGAGCTCCCTGGTGGCCCAGCATGTGGTCTGGCCAGCGGCACAGCACGCAGCCTCAGGCAGGAGGAGAGGACTGGATTCATAAAGTCTTGCTACTTGAACATTTTCTTCCTTACAAAAAATAATGTCGTATCCACATTTGTGTCATCATGAATGCCTGATTTCACCCATGTAGAGAAAATCAGGTGAGCTTAAAAATTTACTTCTCAGCCTTTTTCTGTTTGTTTTAGCTAAGATCAATTGCAGATGAGGTATAAAAACAAAACAGAAACCCTTCACCAAAAACCAGAAAGGTGCCATGGAAGAGTGGATCCTTATTTAAACCAATTGCTATGTAAATGGCAGGCCCTAGGTTTCTGGAGACTTTGCTCACTCATTCATTTCACTGTTGGATCTCGGGGCCTGATTGCTAGGTGTGTTCATTAGGAACGCGGACTGCAGGAGGCTCTCCATGTCCCTTCCTTCTCACAGGTTCATCAATGCTAGAAGACGAATTCTCCAGCCAATGCTGGATTCCAGTTGCTCAGAGACCCCGAAAACAAAGAAAAAAACGGCTCAGAACAGGCCGGTTCAGAGGTTTTGGCCTGACTCAATCGCTTCCGGCGTGCCGCAGCCGCCTCCAAGTGAGCTCGCCATGTCAGAAGGTACGTGTCGCTGTGGACAGAGGCGGTCGTGTGAGCTGGGGCCCGTGTCGCTGTGGACAGAGGTGGTCGTGTGAGCTGAGGCCTGTGTCGCTGTGGACAGAGGTGGTCGTGTGAGCTGAGGCCCGTGTCGCTGTGGACAGAGGTGGTCGTGTGAGCTGAGGCCTGTGTCGCTGTGGACAGAGGTGGTCGTGTGAGCTGAGGCCTGTGTCGCTGTGGACAGAGGTGGTCGTGTGAGCTGGGGCCCGTGTCGCTGTGGACAGAGGTGGTCGTGTGAGCTGGGGCCCGTGTCGCTGTGGACAGAGGTGGTCGTGTGAGCTGGGGCCCTGTGGGCTGCTGTGTGCTCAGGCTAGCTCCGAGGAAGCTGTGGAGTGAGTGTGTCGGTGCTGGGCTCCGGCCAGAGCTGGAGGACGTGAACCCTGTGCGCTCGTTGTAGAGTAGACGTGACCGTGTCCTTCGCTTCTGGTTTTGCTTTCCTCCTCTGCCAGTGTCGGGTGCAGCTGGCACAGCGGGTCTCCCCCTGGCCGCCTGATGTCCTCCCCTGTTTCAGTGCAAGTGCCTGTCTGTAGTTTTATTTCTTCTCCTTCTCTCCCTACCGCAGGCCGCCGTCCTCACGTGGTTCAGGAGCATCTTTGTGTTGCACGCATGCTTCAAATGTTAGAACGCTTTGTGTGCCACTTGTTTGGCTTTAAGTGGGTGGCCTTGGGCTCGGGCTTCCAGCAAGGGCCACATCATGGAGACACAGGAAGGGGAGGAGACCAGCGTCCCCAGCCCGCTTCGAGGTCCTGGGCCCCCACATCCACACCATAACCATCACGGTCCTCTCCTCCCTCCCCTGCCTCAGAAGAGGCAAGGATGACCCGAATTTCAGACTAGAGTAACCAGTGGCTTCTGATCTTTGGAGAGACAACCAGTCCGTTTTCCTGTGCTCCCTGCTAATTCTGTTCATAGATGGGAATGAATAATTTATCTCTTCTACGGTTCTTCTTGGCTGTGTGCGTATCATACAGATATGCAAATATGTGAGGTCTCTTCGTGTCGTTACTTACTAACATCCTGTGGACACCACGTGTCTCCTTGCTAATACCTGGTTGGAACCTGCAGATCCGCTCACTGTATTCATGCGCCACATCCCTGTTCTGTGTGGGTAGTTTCCTTCCTTGGCTGTCAGGCTCGACGACAGAGATTTACATATTACACTGTTACTGTCTCTTCTTTTTTGCCCTCTCAAATTGGTCTTCCTGCCTCTGACCTGCTTCTCTTTTGCGTTTGGTTTTATATACATCTTGGTCCCATGTCCTGGGTTCTCTTTCTCTCTGGAGCATGCTTTGGCCTGGAAATCTGCCGTCCATCACACTGACCTCTGTTGACCTAACTTCCCATCCAGATGTCCTTAGCTGGGCGTGGCCTGCGCCTCTGCGGGGCTCTCCACAGACACCTAGGCTTCTTAAGGTTCTTCAGGTTCAGCCAAGCCAGCTAGCAGCACCCGTGGAGAGCAGACAGCTCTTCTGAGCCGTAACTCCCTGTGCTCCGCTGCAGGTACCGTCGTGACCATCACCACGCCTGTGAACATGAACGTGGACAGCCTGCAGTCCCTGTCCTCGGACGGGGCCACCCTGGCCGTGCAGCAGGTCATGATGGCGGGGCAGAGTGAGGATGAGTCCGTGGACAGCGCGGAAGATGAGGGGGATGCGCTGGCCCCCACGCACATGGGCGGCCTGGTGCTAGAGAACAGCGACTCCCTGCAGTAGGGCCGGCCGAGCCGGTGCCTCCAGCACCCGCCGCGCCCGCGGCGCACCCGACTTCTTACTGTTTGCACAGCAAACATTTTACAGTTTTATTCTAATATGTTTTATATGTAGATATAGGAGCGTGCACTTTTGTATTTCATAGTAGGGTTAACAAGCGGCCTTGCCGCTGCCGCGACTTCTTCAAACGTGCGTGTGTGGGTTTTTAAGGAACTTCTTCAAAGGTTTACTGCTAGAACCGTGAATGATGCCCCTGCCCCCCATTTTGAATCCCTGACTAGATTAAGGAGTTGTGCTGCCATTTTCTAAAAAAATTATGCAGTCGTAATTGAGTTCTGTGGTTTGCAGCAGACCTCGGGGGCCGCCCATGTGCGTGGCCACGGGTGGAAGAGCCGGGCTGGCCGCGCTGGGTTCCCCGGCGTGCACGGTACTGGCCCGCGAGCCCGTTCATTTACTATGTAGAAAAAGAAACTCCTATTTTTACCTTGCTGGAATTATTGGATAAAAAGCTATTTTTATAAATTCACTATGAATTGGATTATGAGTATATTGAGGATAAATTTCTAGAGAAGGAACACTACACTACATGCTTGTTTTCCATTTGGAACCTTCGGAATCGCCAGATCCCACGGCCTGCTGGCTGCTGCCCCGCTGCAGGCTCCCGTTTCCCTCGGGAAGTTTACCCTTTAACTGCTAAAAAAGGAGCGACCATCTATCTAGCTGATGAATTGTGTGTGACGCTCACATTGCGTTTTACGGTGATCTAAGAAGCACGGAAGGGCGTGGTGACTAGAACTTGAGGTAAGTGACGTGAGAGGCCGCAGCCTCACAAGCTCCCACTGTCGTCCTGTCTAATTTAAATTTGACCTCAGTTACATGGCTGCCTTACCGTGCTAACTGTGCATCGTTTTAGAATTTTTTTTAGCCAGAATATGTAATGGATAGAATGTTTATTAGAAACTAACGTACCGTGTGCTCTCCCCCCGGCTCAGAGCCCTCTTGGTGTGTCACGTGACAGCAGTGACCGGGACCGTGTGGCCCCCGACGAACTGAACTGTCCCTCCCCAGCCGCGCTCCTGCCCCCTGCTCTCAGCAGGTGTCCGTTTCCAGAACCCTCCTCTTCCACCGGGTCAGCAGGTGGGGTTTGGTCCCCACGTCTGTGTCCCCCAGGGCCCGAGGCCCCTCTGCTGAGCAGGGACAGCTGCGCATCGACTCCCCAGGAGTGACTGGGTCTGGACCAGGGTCACATTGGGGTCATCATTAGCTGGTGCGGGGCTTTTTCTGGAACTGATATCTTTCCCCCAAAAGTCTGTTCACCAAGGTCAGTCCCAGGGGAGACCGCAGAGGGCTCACTTTGCTACCAGGCCATTTCAGAGGTTCACTTAAAAGAAAAACTTGTTTTGCAACTCTTTAGGGGGGTAAGAGCATTTTAAAGCAGCCATTGCATTTCTTATTTATAGTTTTTAATATTTAAGTCAGGTCTGCACAAGTCTAAAAGTTCACATTAGCTCTTTTAATACGGGAATTCTTCACTTGGGACCTGCGGGGCTGGCAGCCCTTCCTCCCTCCCCCCCCCCCTCCATCTTCGGCAGCGCAGGTGCACATCCACAGCGTGCAGAGCACATCTCTCCACCCCTGAAATCATGGTCAAACCTGGGGGGGCATGCCCGCATCCACGAGAAGGGCTGGTCGCACCCACTGTTCCGCCCGGGGCCTGAACACCCTGCCAAGAGGTGCCAGGCCTGTGTTCCTAAACCCTGAATTCTCTCTTGTGAAACTCCAAGGAATAGCATAAGATCTTGAGTTCAAGGCCAGCCTTGGCTACATAGCAAGATACTATCTCAAAAACAAAATCATCAAGAGCTACACTGGGTCCTGGCTGTGTTTCCTCTGACCCTCCATGAATACTGGGGTGCTTGTGCATAGCTGGCCGTTCTGGCTCATGAAATTGCTGCCAATTGTATTTGTTCTAAGTTTGCACCTTAAAACACATGTTTTCCAGCCCTCGGCCAGGGAGAGGGTCGGAACGTTTGTCCCCTTCCAGCCTCCTTTCCGTGGTCAGGTCTGATCCTAGCTTCACCAACTTCCCCTGTGGTAGAGCCTTTGAGTGTGTTTGAGACCACAGTCTGCCCGTTGTCCTGCCTGCTGTTTGGCTACCTAGTGAAGAGCTAGACCCAGTTGCCCACAGTGGCGAGCTCCAGTTGGCGGTTCAGCGCTCCATGTTTGGATTCCAGAGAGTCACCCAAGTAGACCAGTCCTGCAGTGTGTGGAGACCTTAGCCGGGCTCCAGGCTCAGCCCGGGGCGCGCCGGTGGCCGCTGCCCTGCCCTGCCCTCCCCTCGGTGTGCCCGCGGCCATCTCCACAGTGTCTTTCTGGTTCTGTTCGGTCCTTGAAGCTGACAATCTTATAAAATGTGAATACTGTAACGATATGTTTTCTTGGATTGTTGTCTTTAAAAAGGATTTTTGTGAAGCAGTTGATTTATCAATGCAAAAAAATTAAAAATAGAAACATGCCTTATGGATGTTTTGCTTTTATAAAGTTCATGTCACCAAAAGCTGCTTTTGCATGCATGTGGGTGCGTGTGTGGCACGGTGTCCTTGGGCTGCACCGGACCGTGCTATTGGAGAAGATTCTCTCACCCATCAGCGGGGGATGTAAAAACAAAACGCAGTCCATCCACACAATGGACGATTTCCCGGCTACACCGAGGGCCCCTCCCCCGCGAGAACAGACGGCTGAGCCACAGATGGTGTGATTGCATTTATGCGAGAGTCCACACTGGGGGAGACCGGAGGCCGGGCGGGGGAGCCAGGGCGGGGACGGGTGGGGAGGGACTGCTTCCCCCAGGGTGCTGTGGACTTAGAGGCGAGGGGACAGCGTGACGTCCTGAATGCGCCTTTGCTCCCGCGTTGTGGGTTTTCAGCTATTGAACTGCACCTAAATGGACACCCACAGTCTCAAGCCGCTCCAGTCGGCCCAGCCCGGGGCCTCCCTGTTGCCCCGTGCCCAGCCTGGCTTCCTGTGGGGAAGCATTAAAGAGAAGCCTGCTGCAGCCAGTGAGCCAGAGGGCGCCGTCTCCCAGCCCCGGTCTAAGCAGCTCCTGACCGTGGCTCCCGGCAGGGAGGTCAGGGGGCCCAGCCCCAGGAAGGTGAAAATCAGTCCGTTGCGTGTTCATAAAAGCAGGTGCAGACCCCCATTTATACCACACCTCAATGCTGGTCCTGCTCCCTGGCCGCCACGAAGCTCAGCAGGTCGATGGCAGTGACCACCCCGAACACCATCTGCCGCTGGCTGGCCTGGCCGCTGCTGTGGTCTGGAGGGAAGCAAGGGCTGGTGAGAGGTGTGGGGCGCAGGGCCGCTCTGAGCAGGGTCCGTCCCCAGACCTTCCCTGGGTTCTCGCCGGCACCTGCGTGACCCCCAGGGAGGCCCTATGCCACCACTCCGTCCTGAGCCTGTGGGCCCAGTCAGAGCAGCTCCTCCGCCCGGCCTAGCGGAGTCGCTGCCACCCCACCGCGCCCGGAGGCCCCGCTCCTGCCTGGGCTGCACAGCCCGGGCCACAGGCTTGGTGCAGAGCTGGACCATCGCCGCCACGCCGCGCCGCCCCGAGCTGCAGAACCCGTGCTTTTGGCACCGGCCAGGCCCAGTGCCACATGGAGCCCGGGGGTTGTGGTGGCAGACTTTAGATGAGGCCACCAGGAAGCCCGTGGCATGCTGGGCACGTCTGCTGCGGCGGGATTAGCACCAGATTCCATAAAAAGCACGGTGGCAAGCTTCACCCCGTAAGTAATGCAGTTTCCTACTTTGGGACGTGAACTGTCACATCCACTCTCCAGGGGCTCAGGGCTGCTACTCAGCCTTGGGGGCTTGGGAAGTGTCAGCTCCACAACCGTGTCCCCCAAGATGCATCCCTGCGGGGCCCCATGGTGAGCCCTGGTTCTCCGCGGGCCCTGCCTGCCGCCGACCTTACAAGGCTTGCAGAGCTTGCCCCCTGGCCATTTCCCAGGGGCTGGGACGGACGGGGCGTACATACCTGCAGGCCCCCCCACCACTCCTGACCAGGCCTGGTCCCGTGCTGTAGAGCCAAGGACGGGAGAGGGGGTTAGACATGGGGCTGCCCCAGGCGCCCACCACGCACAGCGCAGCCGGCGGGCGGGGTTGAGGCCTCACAACTGCATCCTGAGCTCTACAGCCCTCCTCTGGGCCCTGGGTGGACTCTGAGGAGGCTTCAGGTACAACAGGGCTCACAAAGTGTACGTGCTGCCAGAGCGAGGAGGCCGTGGGAGCCGAGGCAGCCTCCAGATTCTTCCGGGACTCTATGAGATAACCTGCCACCTTGGGGCTGGGATCCGGGATGAGGATCCCCTGCCTGGCAACCTGAGCCTCATCCAAGTACAGCCTGCCTGCTGCCTGCTGCCTGCCCGCCTGCCAGGCCCCTCGCACACACAGCTTGAGTCACAGGTTCCTGACTCAGCCCTTGAGCCAGGAGCCTTGGGTACCCAGACTGGTTAGTGCCACTCATCACCACTGCCCCCAAACGTGGGCACGGGCCTGGCAGCCGGATGCAGCGGGAAAGCACAGGAGGGAAGCTGAGCTGGACGATGCCCGTGTCCAAGCCCAGTGACCTCGCTCCCAACAAGACGCGGCGCGCACAGACCGCACTCACACTGGATCTGCTCGTGCACCACCAGCGCGAAGTGGTCCATCTCCAGTGCGTGCGAGAGCGTGCCCAGCGTGTCCGTCAGGCGGATCTGGAAGAGAAGCCGAGTCAGCCATCAACGTCCCGAGTGAGAAGCTGCCATCCCGGTAACTCACCAGCCCCCCCGGAGAGGACGAGACCCCTGGGGCCTCGGGCGCGCTCTGTGAACGCCGTGGAGGGCCACATGTCGCGTGACTGTGCCTCCGGGACCGCCCGTCACAGGCGGATGGGTAGAAGGATCTGCAGTTTGGGCTGGGGTGAGGATGGACTTGGGAGGGGGGGCCCCACAGGCTTCCTGGCCAGCACTTGGGCCGCGTGCTTCCCTGCTTCCAGAGCTGATGTGCACTGTCAAGACTCAGCGGTGGCCCCATCCCAGGAAGCCCTCCCAGCACCCAGCTCGCCCACAGCCACCAGTCTCCTGGGGAGAAGGCAGGGAGGGGTCATGGCAGGGGGGTGAGGGGGGGCCGAAGCTGGGGCCCAGCGTGTGGCTCAGGCCGGGACTAAGGGGTTCCGAGCAGACGTCTACCGGGTTCTCCCGGCTTCTCCAGCTACAGGGAGACACACTGAGGGACCTATGGGACCACACGTGCAGGCACGCGTGTGCACATACACACTCGGGGCAGTGGGAAGGTGGGGCGGCAGGCGGGGCTGGCATGGATGCTGTGGGGTTTCAGGGAGGAGGTTTGGAAGGAGAGATCAAATTAATTGCTGACTTGGTGGACCCCTCAGCCTTGTCTACCCACTGCAGGTCTGTGTGGGGTGCTGAGCCTGGCCAAGGTGACGTCAGCCCCGCACCCGCGCCCCCCCAACCCCTTGCCCCTGGGGCCCACCGAGGAGGGTCCAGGGCAAGGGGCCTCGCCGGAATTCCCGTGGGAGCTCTCTGAAGCATGTGCAGGAAAAAGCAAGGGCTGGGCACAGAAGACAGCCCCCACCAACCTCGAGATCCCCAGGGGAAAGACAGGGCCCCGCGACCTCGGGATCCCCAGGGCTGGGCACAGAAGACAGGTCCCCGTGACCTCAGGATCCCCAGGCCCGGACACAGAAGACAGGGCCCCACGACCTCGTGATCCTCAGGGCAAGCCTGCCAGGGCCCCAACATCTGCAGAAGGGAGCCGCAGGCGTGGTGGTTCTGCTGGGGTGCGGTAGGGCGGGGGGGGGGGGGGGGGAGGGGGAGCCTCCAAGGACGGCTCTCGTACCGGTTTGAACTGCTTGTAGAGGACTTTGCAGACTTGGTCGGCCGGCTGCACCTTTCCAGCGAGCAGGGAGGACAGCATGTTCCCCAGGGTCACCATGCCCAGGATAGCCCTGTGGAGAGCGGACAGGCCAGGGAGAGGCAGGGGTCAGCCACTGCCAGAGCCGGCCAGGGCAGCGTGGGCGCCACCCTGTGGCACCTTGGGAAAATGCAAGCGTTTGCTGAGCGCCACCTCGTGGCCGGAGCGGGAGAGGCCAGGCAGGAGAGTGAGCCCACTGCTCCAGACCGGAAGGCCCTCAGCGCCCAGATGGACGGACCTGCACTGTGGGGTCAAGGCACAGCACAGGGCCCAGACGGGCCTGCGCACTAGGAGGGAATGGGGGGAGCAGAGGACTGGGGTGCGAAGAGTTCATGAGTGCCCAGGCCTGCGGCACAGGAGGCCGGGCAGTGACAGGCTGCTGAGGGGCCATGCGGGCGACCTCGGGTGCCCACAGAGCGGGCAGCGCACAGCTGTCCTGGCAGAGCTCAGGGACAGAACCCGGCTGCGGGGCGGCGGGCGGCGGGGACCGACCCGGACTCGCTGACCACCGGCGCCTGGTCGAAGCCCTTCTCGCGCAGGATGGCGATGGTGTGCTCGCAGGTGACCGTGGGCAGCACGGTCAGCGGGGCCGGCAGGCTCAGCTCCTGGACGCGCAGGTGCCACCACCTGGGGAGGGGCGGGCCGGCGGGAGTGAGCCGCGGGGGAGGGGCCCGCAGGCCGCACCCCTGCGCCCCCACGCCGCAGCCCTCACCAGGGCCTGGTTCCGGAAAGCTCCTCCTTCAGAAAGCCCTTCTGCAGCATCCACTTGTCGCTCAAGAACTTGGACCTGTGGGGAGGGGCACAACCGAGGCCTTGCGTCCGCCCGTGCGTGGACGGGCCTGGACCACCTGCCAGGGGCTCCAGGCAGGCTCGGGGTGCTGGTCAGTGGGCTTTGAGGTCCACCAGGGTGCTTGGCATGGGCTGAAGGAGCTCCACAGCTGGGTGGGTGTTTCCAGAAGCCTCTGTGATCCAGGGGCCTCTACAGGCTTCATGGCCTTCCCCACTGTGCTAAAGGCTGGAGGGCTGCCTGGAGGAGGCCCAGGGCCGCAACGCACCCACAGGCGAGCCCTGCAGCATCCCTCCCCGCTGCCTGCCCCGTGCTCAGGGCCGCCACACGGCGGCCACCCCGCCCCGAGCCACCCCCTCCTGCGAGCGCACCAGTCAGGGCAGGCTGGCACAGCCAGGCTCGGCGCGAACCCAGGGTAGCCGCGTGGGGGCAGGGTGGGGGGCGCCTCTCCCCGGGGGGCGGCCGGGGGGGGGGGGCGCCTTACATGTAGTTCCGCACGGAGTCGGGGAGGATGACCACGCAGCGCTGGCCTTCCTGCAGCTCCCGGGCAGCCTTCACGGCCGCGGCCATGGCGCTGCCTGAGCTGCCGCCTGTAGAAAGGTGGGACGCACTCGCACACACCCGTGGACGTGCGTGCGCACCCTGCACGAGTGCCCACTCTGGAAATGCACGAGTGTGCAACTGCCCGACATGAAGCCACGGCGCCAGCAATCGGCTGGGCGGCCCTGGCCAGGGACCTGCAAGGACCCGGCGCCTTCCCTCGGTGCCCTCCAGGCCGGTGGCCAGTGTGCCGCAGGGCCTGCGTTTCCCGCGTGGGCCTCACCGAGGACACGTGGAGGTCCCCGAGGGGCTGGCCAGAGCAGAGGCGGCTCTGGGGAATGCCAGGGGTCCGGGACGGGCCACGTTCTCACCACTCATGGCAGCTGCCCGAAGGCATGCAGGGACACGGGGACCCCTCCACTGCTGGGCGCCCCACGCACAGGGATGCTGCCGTGCTGGGACGGAGCCTGCACCGGAGCCCTGGGGCAGAGCCAGCTCTCCAGCGGGCCCGGCGGGCTCAGCCACAGTGGCACAAGGAAGCCAGAAAGGTCCCCGGACGACAGTGGGCGTGGGCAGCCTGTTCTCCCCGGAGCCCAGCGGGCAGGGCCCGGCCGGTTCTCCTGGGAGCAGGGCGGGGACAGGGTCCCTTCCAGGTGGGTCCCTGCCGTGTTCTGGAAGTTTGCATCACCAGGGCCCACGCCAGTCTCCAGGGTGGGCCTCAGTTGTGGGGGATCTGTTCACATGGGGTGGGGGGCAGTGTTCTTCCCCTGGACCCCCACAAGGCTCAGGGCAGTTTCTGGGAGCAGGCTCAGTGTGTTTTCCAATTTTCCTGAGACCTAAACTAAGCGGAGGCCAGGAGGGAGCCCGGGAGCCGGCGTGGGCCCGGGAGCTGGCGTGGGCCCGGGAGCTGGCGTGGGCCTGGTAGCCTGCGTGGGCCCGGGAGCCGGCGTGGGCCCGGGAGCCGGCGTGGGCTGCGCCGCACAGCCTCAGCGCAGGGTGCAGCAGGGACGGGAAGGCCCGGACCACTGCCGTGGGGCCCCCACCCCCAGGACACGCTGGCTGGCTGGGGAATGGGAGGAATGGTGAGCGGCTCTGGCCTGGCCCTGAGAATCACTTCCTAAAGAACCTGGACAGACAGACAGGCGACTCCACCCAAGACCCATGGCCTGCGGCCGTTAGGCGTTTGGACGGGAGCCTGCAGAGGCCTGGCTGGGCTGTGTGCCCCTCCTCCCTACACCGCACCCCCACTTCCCCCCCCCACTCACCACACAGCAGCCCCTCCTGCGCCATCAACATCCGGCAGAAGGTGAAGGACTCCGTGTCGTTGCTCTTGATCCACCGGTCCACGACCTTCGCAGGACCAGGCCGTCATCTTGGGCAGGGGCACCGTAGGGGCTCGATAGCCTCGTAGAGGGCTCCCTCAGATGGTCCTGGTCCCCCGACCCCTGACCCCTGACTCCCACCCCAGGATGTGGAAGGCAGGCCTGTAAACCTGGATCTCTGCCCTTACTGTGCCCTGCTTTACACAGAGCAACTCAACCACCCGCCAGGCCCCACCGGGCAGCCGCACGCCCCACGGCCCGGGGGCTCCGCTCTGGCTCTGGGGTCACCCTGTGTGTCTGGGCTTCGTACTCCCCTCAGCTGCCCTGCCCTGTGCCTGGTGGGTGGGCCGAGAACTCAAGGGCGTGGCCTGCATGGGCCCTTGCTCGGCTGGAGACCGCCGCTAGTGGCCAGGAAGTAAGCTCCGGGAAATGAGCTCCGGGAAATGAGCTCCGGGGCAGACTCAGCCTGAGACCCCGGCAGCGCGGTGGGTGAGCTACCTTCCTGTCCAGGACGGTGGGGATGAAGTCGTAGCCGATTCCCTCCACCTCGTAGCCCGTCACCTCCGTCCGGTTCAGCTCCTCAGGCTCGGCCAGGATGGAGCCCTCGGGGTCCACGCCGATGATCTGCGAGGGCAGGGACAGGCTGAGTCTGGGGGCGTCCGCACTGGACACCGGGGCGATTCCCACCGAGGCCCCGGCCGCTGCTGGGTTTAGTGCTGATCCGTCCACGGTGCAAGGAGCACCCACAAGTGCTCTTGGGCTGAGTTCCGGGGCCCTAACAATCCATCTGGAGTCATCCAGGGCAGGGCACTCAGAAGAGACCTCCCGGCCAGACCTGGCCCCGGAGGCTCATTCTAGAACCCTAGCTACTTGGGAGACTGAGCTCTGAGGATCATGGTTCAAAGCCGGCCTGAGCTTTTGAGTCTGTGAGACTTTAATCTCCCATTCACCACAAAAAAGCCAGAAGCAGAGCTGTGGCTCAAGTGGTAGAGCACACTCCCTAGAGCAAATAAAACAGGGACAATACCCAGGCCCTGAGTTCAAGACCCAGGACCACCACACCACACTCATGCATGCACACACATGCACGCACACAGGTACACACATGCACGCGTGACATCCCACAACTGTACTGAGGAGTGAGGAGGGGGACAGCGGGTTGGGGAAGGCACCGGCTCTGCACACTGACCTCTTCCTGGAGCGCAGGTGACAGTGTCCGGGAGAAAATGTAACGGCTGAGCATCTCAGCCCCCTCAGACCACCCTTACGCCCCAAGCACACACTGAGACTCGGGACACAACAGCTTCCAGGCGTTTCCTTGGAGCCCCCGCCCCAAGGAGGCTGGAAGGCCCCAGGACCCCGGCTGGCGCTGCACGGGCCCGCTGTGCGTGCATGCAGCATGTTGACTGAGCTTCCTATCAGCCAGCACTGTTCCCAGCCCAGGCCAAAACGCGGGCAGAACTCCACTGTCCAGAGGCACCGTGCGTGGAGCCCATGGGAGAGCAGCCCGCCTGCCTCCCAGCATGCCCCGCGCTGCCGCCCGCAGCCTCGCTCACCATGCACCCCGGACACTTCTCCTTGAGCTTCCTGGCAATGCCTGTGATGGTGCCGCCTGTGCCGGCCGAAGCCACCAGCATGTCCAGCTTCCCTGGTGGAGGGGATGGTCTCAGGCCACAGCCCCTCCAGCCCACCGCTCTTAAAGACACACGGCTCAAATCAAGGCAGCAATCAATTCCCAGAAGAAGCTGGGTGCCTGTAATCCTAGCCTCAGGAGGCTAAGATGTGAGGATTGAGGTTCAAAGCCAGCTTCAGCAAAGTACATGAGACTCCACCTCCAATTAACCAGCAAGAAGAGCTGGAAATGAAGCCAAGTACTGGTGGCTCACACTTGTAATCTTAACAACTCAGGAGACTGGAGTCTGGTGGTTCAAAGCCAGCATGGGGAAGGAAAGTTTGTGAGACTCTTAGTCTTAAGTCATTTGTGGCTCAAGGGGTAGGGCACTAGCCTTGAGCAAACACTTTCAGGGATAACACCCAGGCCCTGAGTTCAAGCCCCAGGTCTGGCATAGGGAAAAGAAAAGCTGGAAGAGGAGCTGTGGCTCTGAGTTCAAGCTCCAGGATCAGCACCAGAAAAAGGCCAAATCACTCAGGCTTTGGCTCAGAACCTGAGTGGGTGTTGGCACCGCCGCGCGCCCAGTCCAGGAGCAGGCAAGTCTGATCGCAGGCGGACACCCGCGCCAAACCGGGGCTTCAGTCTTTCGCCAAGTGAGAGAATTCTCACTTGTAAAACTGGATGAGAGAATGCCTGGACGTTACCCCAGGCACGTAGTAACAAAGCTGCCTCGCGGCCCGTGCCAGGCCAGGAACTCGAGTGCACACCGCCAGCCATCCCAGAGGAAGCGTCTCCGCTGCCCCGGGGCCTGGCGCGGGCCGGCTGCACGGCCTCCAAGGCCTCTCATGCCTGTGCAAAAGCTAATTGGAGGGGAGAAAGACATGGAACTCGGTGCCCAGGCTGGAGCTCAATCCCAAGCTGGGGTCAGTGCCAGCCCGGGTCCCTGCCACAGCAGCTCCTACCACCTGGAAGAGGGAATGTGGGGTCAACAAAGTCTGCACCACATTGTGGGTGCTACCGGCAGAAGCCAAGGGGCTTAAAGAGAGGAAACTGCTCTAGGGGCCACGTCACAGAGTTGGGTTTTGAAGGGAAAAGAGGAGTTCCCATGCAGAAACTCCCATCGCGCATACCATCGCACTGCTGCAGGATCTCCTCCGCCGTGCTGTCGTAGTGCGTCAGGGGATTGCTGGCGTTGCGGTACTGCGGGGAAGAAAGGCGCCGTGAGGCCGAGGGCCGCCGCGGCTCCCACAGGTGCTGTCTAGGAGCCTACGCAGGACATGAGGCCTGACACCTGCTCTCCAGCCGAGCAGGGGCTCACGCCTGTCATCCCAGCTACTCAGGAGGCTGAGATCGGAGGATCGCAGTTCAATGCCAGCCCAGGCAGGAAGGTCCAGGAGACTCATCTCCAGTGAACCACAAAAAGCCTGAAGCGGAAGCCCTGGCTCCAGTGGTAGAGCACTAGCCCTGAGCAAAAACAAACTCAGGGACAGGCCCATGTCCTGGGTTCAAGCCTCAGGACTGGCACAAAAAACAATACAACAACCCCAACCCCTCTTCAGAAGGTGAAATATCTGGAAATGCAATACATGAGACGGGTTTTGGGGGGGGGGGGGGCATCAGAACGCAGCGGGGGGCCCCAGATGAAGGCGGCCCAAGCCACGCTCACATCTGGACTGGGGAGGGCAGCTGCCCACTGACGCTGGCCCAGGCCGCAGACACGAGGCCCCACCAAGTCCAGAGGGCTCCGGAGCCAGGACAGACCTGACGGTGACACGAGCCACCCCCAGACCTGCCGCACCCGACACCCAACGAGCCTCCTTGAGCATGCGTCTCAACCACGCGCTCCCCTCCCGGACCCCCGGTGCCCCACCTGGTCTAGGATGTGAGAATTGGGGATCTCGTTCTTCAGCCTCCACGCCACGCCCACGTGGGACTCCGGGGAGTCGAACCGGGCGTTGGTGGGCGTCCTCACGATGTCGGCGCCCAGGGCCCGCAGGACGTCCACCTGTGCGGGGAAAGGTGACGGGATGGGCGGCCTCGGCTTCGGGAGCCCCCGCGCCGCCCGCGCTGCCCGCGCCACCCGCTCACCTTCTCCATGCTCATCTTCTCCGGCATGACGATGACGCAGCGGTAGCCTTTCACCGCGGCCGCCAGCGCCAGCCCGATCCCTGAGGGGGGTGAGAGAGGCCTGCCCATGACCTCTCACCCCGCAGGGTGGGGGAGGAGGGAGCTCACCCGCATAGAGGGTGGAGAGCAGGGCCGAGGGCAGGAAACCCCGTTCCTCCAGCCACCCGGGACACAGGGCCATGGCGGTGCCCCGGGGCTCGTCCCCGCTGAGCAGGACCGTGCGCGGCTCAGGGGAGGACAGGAGGGACAGGAGCCAGGCCGCTCCTCTCCTGGTGCCAGGCCGCGGGGCACAGCCCGCCCCCCCCGCCGGAGCCGGCGCCCACCTGTGTTCCCGGAGGTGGGCTCGATGATGGT